GCCACGGCAGAGGCGTCGCCTTCCCTCCCCCATGTTCACCCTCCTTCCTTCCCCTTCTCTCTCTCTCCTCGCTTCCTAGTGTTCTGTTCTCTGTGGAACAGGCCACCGAACGCGCCACGTCCGCTGTGTGAGTAACGAGGGGGCCGTGCTGAGAGACAGCGACTGTCCCAGCAACAACCGTCCCGAAACCAGCGAGGCCTGTGACGTGGGGCCCTGCGTCCGGACGTGGTTCTACAGCGACTGGAGTAACACGGTATGTCCTTCCCCCTCCCGCCTTGCGCCGCTTTTCTGCCCCCCCTTTCTCTCCCGCCTGAAGCCCTTCACGAGCGAGGTCTCCAAAGCAAGCAGGCCCACCAAGGACTGCCCGAGCCCCTCTTCAGAGGGCCAGAAATGGACTCGGAAGCTCAGAGCCCTTGGGCGGCCGGCTGCGGTCAGCCTTGGACCGGTCCCTCCCTCAGCCCTGCCCCCACCCCCCATGGAAGCGCCCACCTGAGGTGAGTGGAGAGAGAGAGAGAGAGCACAGAGACGGACATTTCATCCGCTCGTGCAGAGGAAGTCTCAGGAAAGCTGGCCGTTCCTTCACCTCTTCTAAGGAGACGCCCGTCAAGGTCTGGTAGAACTGGCTCCTCTCTAGCTGACAAGAGAGAACAGGAATACAGGAGAATTCGAACGCATGTCTGTGTGAGAGAGGCTGCCAAGGCAGATATTAACAGGGCGCTCTGGACTGCCAAAGAGCGGTGGGACTTGGGGAGTTCGTCTCACACACGACCGCCGACCCCCGTTCCCACCTTTCCCCCTCTTCTGCTTCCAGTGCTCGGCCGAGTGCGGGACTGGGATCCAGCGCCGCTCCGTGGTTTGCCTGTCCAGCGACGCCGACGGGGAGGCCGAGGAGAACTGTGCCGGCGCCAAGCCGGCCGAAATGAGGGCCTGCAGCGGGGGTCCCTGCCGGCGTGTGGCCCGTTGGTACAGCGGGCCCTGGAGTACGGTGAGCCAGGGTGTGGGCGGGAGGGCCTGGGCCCCGTTCTGTCCTCCTGGAGACCTCGGCCCTTCCTCCGACTGAAAAGCGACCACTTGGGAGTGAGTAAGAAAAGAGGATAACAGGTCTTTTAAAAAAAAATGGTGTTCTTTTGCAAATAACGCCCTTAAAAAAGTATGTTGAAAAGCAATTACGAACGTTAACTTGTTGCACTGGCAACGGAAGCCCACTCCTGCTTTTTGCATTCTTTTAGAGGCCTGAGTGTCTATCCTTGTTTCCCCAAGCGAAGTAACTCAGAGCAGGCACAACAACCTTCCTCTTGTGTCATGTGACTTCGTCGGGCGATGCAGTCCAGGCAGAACCAAACTCTGCTTGCGGCCCGCCTTCCTGCTTTCCATATAAAACTCATTTCCCCCAAACTCTGCCTTTTCCCCCTTGTGGTGACCACTCTCCCCCCCCCACCCCGCAACCTTTGCTCTGACAGTGCTCCTCCGACTGCGGCACCGGCACCCAGCGGCGCGACGTCATTTGCGTGAGCAAGCTGGGCACAGAGTTCAACGTGACGGAGGCCTCGGAGTGCGCCCACCTGGAGAAGCCGCCCTCCCTCCAGCCCTGCGCTGGCACTTCTTGCAAAGCCCGCTGGTTTTCCACGGCCTGGAGTGCGGTGAGTGGGTGCCAGCCGACGGGCCAAAGGCTTTCTGGACGGGGGTCCGGAAAACCCCCCCCGTTAACTGGGTTTGAGTTTTGGAACACTGGGTGCCTCCCTAGTCTTAAGTGGCAGCTTTCCGCTCAGTGAAGGAAGGAGATGAATGGAATTCAAAAAATAGCAAATACAGTAGGACCTTCTTATCTGCAAGATCATCACCTGCTGGTGCACTTATCCGTGGTCTGAAAAGATTAAAAGAAAAATCCTCCAAAATATAGATTTCTAATGGTGAAATTACCGGAACTGGCCACTAGAGGGGGCCAGAAACCACGCTATATGTTGTATTTTGCTATTAAAATCGGGTTCAGTGTTTTTCAGCTTGGTGTGGGGGGGGAATTAGCCTGATGCCCTGAGGATACACGGGTCCCACAGAGGATCCTAGCCACTTGGAGGGCGTTATATTGAAGAAGGCAGGCAGAAGGAACAAAGTGGAGCAGGATGAAACGGGAGAAGCCGGGGACCGGGCAGGGGAGGGGGGCCCCCTTCCGATGTCTCTGCGATGACCCTTCTTTCCCCCCCCACCCCGGTCTGGCCCTTGCAGTGCTCCCGCTCCTGCGTGGGGGGCGTCCAGGTGCGGGAAGTCCAGTGCCTGACCCCAAACAGGACCCTGACCCACCTCTGCCCGCCGGACCTCAAGCCGGCCCAGAAGCGACCCTGCAATACCCAGCCCTGCCTCCCGGAGCTCGGTAAGAAACCCTCCCCGGAGCCTGTGTCCACTCCAAGCCGGGACCCTTAAGCTGGGACTCGGGAGGTAGGCCAACGACGAAGCGTGGGGTGTGTGGTCTGGTGTGCGGTGTGGTTTGTGGTGTGTGCTGAGCACTCTCCTTGGGCCAGGGCGGTG